GTTTGTAAAGGGCAAAACTGTCCAAGAAGCATGCAATGAGTCATTCCCCTTCATCTGCCAGGGCACATTTCAAGTTCCCTAGTGGATGCCTGGAACTATGGATGGTGCCTCCTTTTTCTTACACCCTAACTCCAACCTATGATAAGGTTTAATTTATAAATTAGGCACAGCAAGAGGTTGACAACAATAACTAATAATAAAATAGAACAATTATAGCAATATACTGTGGTAAAAGTTATGTGAATATGGTAACTGAAATCTCAGAAGGGAAACCATGGATCGGGGGTCTGTATGTCCCCTGGAGTGTCACTGGACCATACCTGATCTGTGTATTTCACACACTGTGTTCTCCTGGTGCCTTCTCCTGGGCTATAGATGCTTGCTAGACTGGATCTTGGTGAACTTGGGCATATGGACACAGGCAGCAAGGACTTGACAGCAGCACCTAGGGTGTTACTTTATCTTTAGCAGACAGTGGTCTCAGATGCTGCATTTCTCTCTGTTAAGACTAGAGACCTCCTCTGTTGACTGGAGATGGTGGTGTGTTTAATCACTCTTTTCCCCTTGGACTGGCAGCCGTGACTTTGGCATTCTGTGCTAATTTATTTGTGCAGTTGATTTCCAGATGTGATGTTGCATGGGCTGTAGAGTTTGTGGACTACTTTTCTAGGTTTTCGCACATTGGTGTTTCAAAGTTCAATAGTCTAAGAAGATTGCATGGTATTGTGTTTTGTACTTGATCACTTTTCCCCACCCCATCTTTCTGAGCCAGCGCCCTGCCTGTGCTGGAGGCCTGGTCTGTTGAGCCTCATCTAGTGTGAGCTGTGGCATATTCGCAGCCACTGTGCTGGTGCTACAGTCACCCAGATGCCTGCTGACAAGGGACAGGATTGCAGAACCACTTGGAGTTGGAAAGATTGAGTTTAAATGTAGTGAATGTTTCTTTTAACATTTTTATGAATCTAGATTTTGGTATTCTTAGCACATATAGGTAGAAATAAGGCCATATGTCAAGGAGAATAGATACATTTGGGGAATCCAGATGTATGTTATGAAGGATCAGATAGATTTGTGAGAACACACCCTGTGCTCTTTGCGTAGTTCCTTCCTGATGCGCACACAAGGTGTCACCGTGGAGTTGGAGGCTCTGCATGGTACTCAGGAGTGTTTGGTGATTTAAGCTATCAGAGGCCTCTTTTGTGGGACTGGAGCCCTGTGGAGTGTTGGCTTCCTGGCTGATGGCTATCCTCACCAGAGATGGATGTCTCTAGGAGGTTGAGGATGCCAGGCAGCTAATACACTCAGCCAGTGGGCCAGTCCACCAGGAAAGACCCATCTGGCCCCGGTCTACACCAGTGTATCCCAACTTTTGTACACATTGGCTTTCTGGGCTGGATATCTTGGCTGTGGGCATGATATCAGTTGGTAATGTCCCTGCCTCACTCTCATTGTCAACAGCTGGCCCCCAGTCATGACATCCAGAAGGTCTCCAGCTGCTGCCCATATCTGGGGGGGGGGGGCAAGAACCACACATTAGAATAAGATAGGCGACCTTTTGATCCCACTACAGAACTTCGCATGACTCCTTCGCACGACTAGTGCAGGAAAGACTTTTTGGAGAAGGTTGGAGTTTGGTCCACATTGCTGAGAGCACAAGGAGCGCTTAGACTGTGTGCGGCTCCCACAGAGTGCCTGACCCAGGAGTCCTTGCCCTCACCCTGCTGCTGACCTTGCCTGTCCTTCATTTCTACCCTTGCCTCCTTCCTCCTCATTTGTCAAAACCCGGAGGTACCTCTTCTAGGAAGCTGTTCAAGTAAAACTGATCAACTACATTAGCCATCCTGCTCTGTGGATGTCTCTGGCCATCACCCTGTCTGACTTGTTAATCCATGGAGTCTTCCCTCTTGTTGAGCCCTTGGGAGCAGGCAGTGCACCCCGTGCTTGGTTTGTGGCTACTTTGTTCAGACTTCTGAGCTGGGCTGACTCCAAGGGAGCGCTGTGTGCAGAGGGAGCAAAGTGCTCACACCTGAGCAAAGTGCTCACACCTGTGCTCTGGGGAAGACATGCCAGCAAGAGCTGCCCAGGTAGCTCTTGGAGTAGCCTCCAATGTGACTTTTCTACCCCATCCTTGGTGGCAGCTCAGTGCCACCATGGGAGATGTCACATGGCTTCCCAGAGTTGACATGGGAGGTGGAGGACACTGGGAAGCCCAGGCAGGAGGGGGAGCAGCCCTAGCAGTCACAGGCTGATGTGCAGGGGATGTGAAGGGTTAGAACCAGCATGTCTGTTTGTGACTGACAGGTTGTTGGTCATGACTTCTGTGTGTGGGCAGGTAGGACTGAACAAGGCGGAGCTGCCCTTGGTGCCAGGAGATGCTAGTTGTAGGCAGCCCAAAGCAGAACCCAGTGAGCGTTTTTTTGTAGAAATTGATAAGCTGGTTTTGAAATTTACGTGCAATTGCAAGAAACCTAGAATAGCAATTTTGAAAAAGAGCAAAATTGGAGAGCTTTTATTATCTGGTTTTAAGACTTATTATCAAGCTATAATAGTCCAGGTAATGTGGTAATGGTGTAAAGACAGACATGGAACAGACTTACAAATACGTGGCCTGGCAAATGTCCACAGAGGTGGCAAGGAAGTTCAGTGAGAAGACCATCTTGAACAGATGTATAAACAGCTATACACCTGTGTGGTGGGCAGAATGATCTCCTCCCACTGTGGCTGGGGGAAGGAGTGGCAGTGGGAGGAGAACAGAGAGAAGGCCGTGAAGACTTCACTGATGCTGGCTGCGAGGGTGGTGGAGGGTATGTCAGCCGAAGCTGGCTGTGGCCTCTAAACGCCGAAAAGACAAGGGAACAGGTTCGTCTCTGGAACTTTCAGTAGGAACCAGACCTGTAACATCCTGGTTTGACCCAGGGAGACCCATTTCAGACTTGTGATCTCTGGAACTGCACGTGGCAGTCTGAGTGCAGCAGCACAGAACTTAGAGCCTATTTGCAAATAAAGTCCCTTAGCTTTGATCTCAGCCCTTTTGCAGAGTAAGTAAAAAATAGATCATAGACCTAAACGTAAGAGTAAATTTGTAAAACTTCTGAAAGAAAATCTTAGTGGCCTTGCATAAGGCAAAGATTTCTTAATCACAATTCAAAAAAAAAAAACAAAAACAAAACCCAGTGTAATACATTGTACATCATCAAAATCGGAACTTTTGCTCTTTGAAAAACATTGTTAAGAAAATGAAAGGTAAACTACAGACTGAAGAAAGTCTTTGCAACACACATGCTTTATAGGCATTTGGTGATTGTTCCGTTTTTTCAGTTGTTTTAGTTCGCGTGTAGAGCCCATTTATTCAGCGACAACCTCCCCTGGTTGAGCTGGCCCTCTGGATGATCATTTAGGCATAAGTGTGCGTGTCTTTCTGAATGCTCTTCCACATGTCTGCGATGCATGTCTAGGCCGTCTCGAGATCAGGTAGTGGAGGTTCTGATTTTGTTCCTCAGAATTGCTGTTCCAGGTTCCCTGCATTCCATGTAAGTTTCAGAGCCAGCTTGTCAGTTTCTACAAAAAAAAAAGCACCTGTTTATTGATTACTCTAGAGATACAGTGGGCAATTCTCATGTAACATGTTTACTGGAGGCTGGTGAAATCTGCCCAGTACATTTTTGGGACTTGTGAGGAGATAACTCCCACACCATAAGTTTCAGTTTACAAGTGAGTGAAGTGAGGAAATAGGGACCATCTGCTCGCTGTACAAAGGGGAGGCCGTGGAGGAGGCTGTGCTCGGGCCTCTTTCCTTGTGCTTTGTTCTCACTCCTAGTTACTCCCACCATGTGAGGGGCAGCTGGAGGGCCCCAAGTGCACACCTGTCCATGGGAGCCCAGCAGGGAGGTGAGCTCTTAGATGCTTGCCTCGGACGATGAGTGTAAAGTGGTGCCCACCGGCCTCCCTGCCCTGACTCCCCTGCCTCCTCCCACTCCTCAGCCGTGGGGTGCTGTGTGGGGTAGTGAATCCTGCCCCAGCCAGGACAGGTGCTTCACCTGTCCATTAGGCGCAGTCCCAGCACTGTGTCTGGCCTGCAGCAGGTAGGTATGGGCCCTCCATGGGTAAGACATAGGCCAGTAAAACGCACCTTTGTAGGGCTCTGAGTCTCGCTCAGGAAGCAGTCACTGCTCTTTGGAGGGAAAATAGGACAGTTGGTTGTGGGCTGTTTCCTGGATGTGGCTGTAGCCCTGGAGACTGTGTCCGCCTCCTGCCTGGAGAGGCCCCGATGGCAGATATTCCCGTGTCCCTGTGGCAGGTCCTTGCTGGACCAACATGGTGGCTTCTGGGGGTGGTGGGCCCCTTCACAGATGCTGGGGGCATCTCTTATCTCACAGCCTTTAGATTCAACCCCTTCTTCCAAGATGGCCACCAGTGACCGGTGTTTGCACATACAAAGAAAATAGTTTCTGTGTTTGTACAAAAGCCAGGAATGTTACAATCGCTCTGTCAGAAAAACACAGATGAGTCATCACCTCTCTAGCCAGGTAATAGCGTGTGGGGATAGTTTATTGCTTTTTGGTGTTATACCTACTTGTTCCTTACTGTAGAAAATGAAGAAGGTTTTTTGGTTTGTAAATTCGCTATCAGAAGCAGAGGGAGGATCACATAGAATAATTGACTGTATTTCAAGATGATTTTGGTGTTGTCCCTGGGTCTCCTCTTCTGACTAGGTGGCTGTGGTTGGGTTGGCTGGTCCACACTTAGCACAGGGCTGGGGTTGTGTTGTGTTTTCCAGCCTGTTTGCAGAGGTGCCTGTGATTTGTTTTGTTGTGCATGGGACCAACAGATGGGAACTCCCTTCACTGTGGATACAGGAATGCAGCTGGACAGGTCGTAGACCCACCTGAAATGACGTGGTGCCATTGGGTGGGAACAAGAGTGTAGAGTTCCCATTCTGCTTGCAACTCTTTCCATGTGCTATGGCCATGAGTTTTGAGGCGCTCTCTTGTTTCTCACAGGGCAGTCCTGGTGCGGTTGGATGCATGCAGCCATCCTGTTGTCATGAAAGGCCTGTGTGCTGAGTGCGGCCAAGACCTTACCCAGTGAGTATCTGTGAGTGCCCAATGACATTCCATGATGGTGCACTAAGGAAGGAACGGTGGAGGCCCAGAATGGGGCCTCTAGGTCCCCACCTGTCCACGCAGACCCCTCTTAGCCATCCTCACACCACATTGGTGTCCTGAGGACTAGTCCTTTCTGTTTCCATTCTTCCCGAAAGCACTCAGTGGTGCCCTGTGCTGGGGACTGCTCATGCGCATCTGCAGCAGAGCTCATTTCCCCTCCTCTCAACGTGTGGGACCGATGTTCCCCCAAGGCCGAGTGGTGTCTCTAACAGTTTGGCACTATGAGATGCTCTTGCTGTTCTTTTTGCCTATATTTTCATGTTTGGGGGCCTGTTTCTGTTTCTGTATGAATTGGAGTTTATTTACATAGAGAACTATGACAGGAGCAACTGTCCCTCTGAGTATGTGAGCGACCGTGGCCCTGTGTGTGTGTGAGCCATTGTCTCTCTCCAAGTGAGTATGAACACCTGTGGCCCTGGGTGTGCATATAAGTGACCGTGACTGAGTGTGCATGTAAGTGGTCACTCTGAATAGGCTTGTGAGTGACCATGAATTTGAGTGTGCATGCAAGCGACCATCCCTCTGAGTGTGACTACAAATTTGAGTGTGAGTGCGAGTGACCATGGCCCTGAGCATGTGTGCAAGCAGCCATAGTTCTGGGCATGCATATGAGCAACTGAGTGTAAACTGACCCCAGGTGTGAGTGTGAGCAACCAAGGCTCTGAGTGTGCATGCAAGCGACTTTCCCTCTGAGTATGATTTTGAGTGTCCATGCTCTGGTGTGCGTGCTAGCAACCATCCCTCTGAGTGTGAGTGACCAGGGCTCTGGGTATGTATGCAAGCAACCATGGTTCTGAGTGTGCGTGCAACTGTCCCTGTTAGTGTGAGTGTGAGTGACTGTGGCCCTGGGTGTGCACTTGAGTGACTGTGATTCTAGGCATGCAGGTGAGCTCCTATGGCTCTGAGTATGAGTGACCGTGGCTCTGGGTGTGCATTCAAGTGACCGTCCCTCTGACTGTGAGTGTGAATGATGTGACCCTGGGCATGTGTGCAAGCAACCATGGCTTTTTATTTTCATGTAAGTGACCATCCTTCTGAGTGTGAGTGTGAGAGACATGGCCCTGGTGTGCATGCAAACGACCATTCCTCTGAATGTTCGTGACTGTGGCCCTGGGTGTGCATGCAAGCAACTGTGACTCTGAGTGTGCATGCAAGCAACTGTCCCTCTCAGTGAATGAGCTACCATGGCTCTGAGCATGTGTGTGAGCCACCACAACCTTAAATATGCATGCAAGTGGCCATGGCTCTTGAGTGTATGTGCAAGCAAGTTTCCCTCTGAGTGGAACTGTGACCCTGGGTGTGTGTGTGAGCAGCCATGGTTCTGAGTGCATGCAAGTGACTGTCCCTCTGACTGTGAATGCAAACAACCATGGCCCTGGGTGTGAGTGCAAGTGACCATGGCTCTTAGTGTGCATGCAAACGACTGTTCCTCTGATGTGAGTGTGAGTGACTGTGGCCTTGGGCATGAGTCCAAGCGACTTTGGCTCAGAGTGTGTATGTGAGCAACTATCCCTCTGAGTGTGAGTGACTGTGACCCTAAACATGTGTGCAAGCAATGGTGACTCTCAGTGTGCATACAAGTGACCATGCCTCTGAGTGTGAGTACAAGTGACTGTGGTTCTGGGCATGAGTGCGAGTAACTGTGGCTCTGAGTGTGCATGCAAGTGACCGTTCCTCTGTGAGTGTGAGCAATCATCACTTTGGGCATACGTGCAAGCAACTCTTTCTCTGAGTGTGAGCAACTGTTACTCTGAGCATGTGTATGAACCACTATGGCTCTGGGCATGCGTACAAGCAACCATGGTTCTGAGTGTGTGTAAGCTGCTTATGGCTCTGGGCATGTGTGTAAGCAACTGTAGCACTGGGCATGTGCGTGAGCAACTGTGGCTCTGGGTATGTGTCTGAGCGACTGTGACTCTAAGTGTGCATGTGAGTGTTCGTGCTCTGTGAGTGTGCATGTGAGGGTCTGTGAGCTCAGTGTTTCACCCATTTTCCTGTCTGTAAACAGTGGAGTCTCCAGTTTGCTAGAGTGGAGCTCTATATGAGATGGCAATGTGAGCCAGGACATCGGCTAGTGCCTGCCTCTCACAGCCAGATGTGCTGAAGGCGAGTCCCCAGTTGAAACCCTCACCCTCTCCTTGTGCTCACAGGCTGCAGAGTAAGAACGGGAGGCAGCAAGTGCCACTGTCCACAGCCACTGTATCAATGGTGCATAGTGTGCCCGAGCTGATGGTGAGCTCTGAGGTAAGTGTGCAACCGTGCAGTCAGTTTCATATAAGGACAGTGGAGAAATGCCTGCCTTGCAGCTGCCATTTCTGAAACAGCCCTAGGTGACTGACAGAGTTCCCCTCCTGACAGTGGAAAACTGCACTTGTGTCTGTTCTCTTTTCCTTCATGTCAAGTTTGCTGCACAAGCTACTCATGGCCTGCAGGCCACAGCTTATGTGAGGCGCCCTCCTGTGCTGTGACACTGCTGTGGACAGGCAGACTCGGCTAGCTCTTGACCATACTAGCCAGGGAGGATGTGACTGACAGTGGAATGTGGAGCTTTGGAGGCCATCACACCCCCAGAGCATGTACTGGACCAGCCAGGGAGATGTGCATTCAGGGTGGGACGCAGGAGGTAGCTTGTGCTAGCCTTCAGGAGCCATGGTCCAGGTGCATGGAGTGGGTTTCCAGAGGGCATTTGTGGTGTAGCTGGCACACACCATGGGTGGATGCAGGCAGAGGGATGGGCAGGTGCATGTGCAACAGACACCAGCACACAGAGCTGAAAACAAGACTTGGGTTTTCACCTGCAACAAATGTTCCTTGTGCATCTAGAGTCACCTGAGGCATGTTGATCTGAGGCTTCCTAGCAGCTTCGGTTCTCCTGGGCTGGGGTCCTTTAGTCTATATTTCACAGGAAAGGCAAAACACCAGATGCGAGGTTCTGGCTTTTATGAATTACTGAACTTAAACAAATAAAAGTATGTTTATAAACAAAGCTGGGCATTTGAGGATGAAAGGAGCAGGCGGTATCTGCCATAACAGAATGACTGACGACCTTTCAGGGATAGCCATGGTAGATGTTCTACTCTAGATTCATGGGACCGAACACGGTGACAGTGAGAACTAAAGAGTGACGCTGCCTGGAGTGCTGTGTCGGGTGTGCTTCATTGCCTCACGAGAGTAGCCAGGCCCTTTCCCAGAAGCACCAGCGCTGGTCCCTAGGGCCCCTGGGTCTTTTCAGGTGCAAGGCCAGGTGAGCCTATAGGTGTCTGAGCCAGAGCCAGCCGCCTTTGCTGCCTCCACTCTGTGGGACGGGTGTCCTCTTCCACCCATACTGACTTGTCTTCATCAATTTTGCGGCTTACTTTGTTTGCGCTATAGCATGGAGCTGAGTTTTTTTTTGTTTTTTGTTTTTTTTGAGTTGGAGTCTCACTCTGTCGCCCAGACTGGAGTGCAGTGGCTGCTCCCGGCCACCGCAGCCTCAACCTCCTGGGCTCCGGTGATCCTTCCGCTTCAGCCTTCTGAGTAGCCGGAATTACAGGTGCGCGCTACCACGCCTGGCTAATTTTTTTTTTTTATTTATTGTAGAGATGAGATCTCACCTGCCCAGGCGGGTCTCGAACCTGCGGGCTCAGACAATCCACTCACCTCAGCCTCCCAAAGGCGCGGGATTACAGGTTGAGCCACTGAGCCTGGCTGTAGCTGAGTTTTATAGAAACAACTGGTTTCTTTTCATGCTCATTTTTCATTGGTTTGCGTATTTATTGAGATTGTCAAATTGTGATCACAAGTCTGACAGCCACAAACAGGTTAGATGCAGAGCTGGCCTTGGCTATATGGGGTGGACCTGCTGGGGCCCATGGCAAGGGGGTATGACATGCATGGAGGTGGATTTCTAACCTGCCAGATCCTTTTGTGCTAGTTCATAACAGTGAATTTGATTTTGTATCCAGGAATTCTGACTTTGCCATGTTTGTTTTTTTCTCTTTAACTTCAGCAAGCAGAACAGCTAGGAAGGGAGGACCAGCAGCGACTGCACCGGAACCGGAAGCTTGTGCTTATGGTGGACCTGGACCAGACTCTGATCCACACGACAGAGCAACACTGTCAACAGATGTCCAACAGAGTGAGTGCTCCGTGTTAAGGGCAGCTCCAGGAGCCACAGTCCTGGAATTTTAGTTCAAAAGTATATTATCTTGTTTTTTTGCATTATTTCTTGTAGGTCAGCCTGGGTTTGGGAAACAGACTGGTTAGTCCTAGACGGGCGCTGTGTGTCTTTGCCTGGGCAGCCTGGGCCGTTCCGGAAGATCTGCGGCCTCCGGGTAGATGTCCAGACTGCTGGTGCGTGGCGGGAGGCGCCACAGTGGCGTGTTTCCCTGTTTCGCCTGTTCGTGCAGGAGCCCTTGGTGTGCACGTCCACTCCTGATGGAGGTAGAGGGTGGAGAGACTCAGGCCTGTGAGGACAGCAGAGTGGATGGCACAAGGGGTGTCCTTGGAGGTGTGGGCATGGTGGGGAGCATGTTGATTTTGGATGCCATTGTGCCATGGGATATGCAGGGCACCTGGGTCTGTGCACAGGAGAGCCTGGGATAGAGATTGGGAGTCTTTGAGCATGAATCCTGCAGGGAAGGCACAGGAGCGGGGAGGGATCGAGGCTGGAGCCCTGTTTAGGTGTGTGTGCAACTTCATGTTTCAACTGTGCCTCGGGGTGGTTGGAGCCAGAGAGGTGGCATTTCTAGCCCAGAGGCTTTAGTGCCTGTTGAAGTTTAGTGCCTGCTGAAGGCCTGTGTTGCATAGGCTGTCATTAGTAAGGAGACCTCTCCAGCACTGAGTTCCTGTGTTTAAAAGTGTTTGCTGTTAAACAGATAGCACATGGCTCTTACTGTGGAGCCTGGTTTTTCAGAGGCTTGAGGGTTCCAGTGTTACCCATTCCAAGTGATCACTGGGCACCCTGCAAAGGTGATGCCACAACCTGGAAGTCATCTCTGCCAAGAAGGGCTGGGCCCCTCACTTCCAAGTGGATGCAGAGACATTGGCCACCCAGCAGGCTCGAGAGTCCCTCACTGCTGAGCATCAGGGTGCAGCAGTGGCATGTGTGAGGTTTGGCGATGGCATGTAGTGACAACTGTGTATAATGAAAGTTCTGTTACAAGCTCCATCTGAAAGAAGCTTGCTCATGTAAGTCTGGACTTGTGAGTAAATCAGGTGATGCAGCATGCTCGTGGGTGGTCTACATAGACCACCAAGCAGGAAAATTACTCCAGCTCACACTTTAGCAGTAGTCCTTTAAGCAGTAGTCCTGATGCATGTGCACTTCCGGTATGGCTGGAATTCAGTCCTGTCACCCATGATGCAGTGCATATTTTCGACTATATCAGTCATTTTTGTCTATCATGAGATCTTACATAAAAATATCTCATTCTTTTGTGCAATATAGCTTGTTACTAAATGTTTTCAGAGTGTTTCATTCATACCAACTACTCTTCTTATTCATTGTTTTGAAGAGTACAGGACTTTATAAAAATACTTACTGCATGTATGCACCTGACTACATTGTCATGGCTATTTCTAGCTTTTATTGTGCCTTTGAAGTTGGGCGTTTTAAGTTGGTTTTACAGGCACATCTCATTTTATTGTGCTTCACTTTATTGCACTTTGTAGATGCTGCATTTTTTTGCAAATTGAAGGTTTGTGGCAACCTTACACTGAATGTACCTATCGATGCCATTTTTCCAACAAGTGCTCACTTTGTGTCTCTTTGTACTTTGGTAATTCCCACAGTGTTTCAAACTTCCTCATTAGTGTTATATCTGTTATGATGATCTGTGATCGGTGATCTTGAATGTTACTATTGTAATTGTGTTGGGGCACCACAAACCACGCCCATATAGACAGCAAACTTAATTGATAAATGTTGTGTGTGTTTTGACTTCTCCACCCACTGGCCGTTACTCCCATCTCTCCCTTTCTTCATGCCGTTCTTTTCCCTGAGACACAACAATGCTGAAATTAAGCCAGTTTATAACCTACAATGGCCTCTAAGTCTCTAAATGTTCCAGTGAAATGAAGAGTCACATGTCTCTCACTTTAAATCCAAAGCTAGAAATGATTAAGCTTAGTGAGGAAGGCAGGTCAAAAGCTGGGTCAGGCTGAAAACTGGGTTTCTTGAGCCAAACAGTCAGCCAAGCTGTGAATGCAAAGGAAAAACTCTTGAAGTAAATTAAAAGTGCTACCCCAGTGAACTTGATAAGAAAGCGAAACAGCCATTGCTGATATGGAGAAAGTCTGAGTGATCTGGATAGAAGATTGAACCAGCCACAACATTCTTTTAAGCCAAAGCTAAATCCAGAGCAAGGCTGTCTTCAGTTCTGTGAAGGCTGAGAGAGGTGAGGAAACTGCAGGAGAAAAGTTGGAAGCCAGCAGAAGTTGGTTCATGAGGGTAAAGGAGAGAAGCCATCTCCATAATATCAAAGTGCTAGTTCTTCAGAAGATCTGGCTGAGATCATTGACAAAGGTGGCTACACTAACAACAGATTTTCAGTGTAAATGAAATAGCCTTCTACTGTAAGAAGATGCCATCTAGAACGTTCATAGCCAGAGAAGTCAATGCCTGGCTTCAGAGCTTCACAGGACAGGATGACTCTCTTGTTAGGGGCTAGTGCACCTGGTGACTTTCAGTTGAAGCCAGTGTTCATTGACCATTCTGAAAATCCTAGCACCCTTAAGAATGAAGCTAAATCTAGCTGCCTGTGCTCTGTGAATGGAACAACAAAGCTTGAATGATGGCACATTTGTTTATAGCATGGTTTACTGGATATTTTATGCCCACGGAGGAGACCTACTGCTCAGGAAAAAAAAAGAAAACGATTCCTTTCAAAATATTACTGCTTGTTGACAATGTACCTGCTTGCTCAAGAGCTCTGATGGAGATGTACAAGGTGATGAATGTTGTTTTCATGCCACGACACAACATCCATTGTACTGCCCATGAATAAAGGAGTGATTTGACTTTTTAAGCCTTACGGTTTAAGAAATGTATTTCATTTTCTTACGGTTTAAGAAATGTATTTCATGAGGCTGTAACTGCCATAGAGAGTGATTCCTCTGTGGATCTGGGCAAAGTAAAATGAAAGTCTTCTGGAAAGAATTCTAGGTGCCATTAAGAACATTTGTGATTCATGGGAGGAGGTCAAAATATCAACATTCACAGGAGTTTGGAAGAATTTGATTCCAGCCCTTATGGATGATTTAGGGCTTTAAGACCTCAGTGGAGGCAGTAACTGCCCATGTGGTAGGAATAGCAAAACAGAATTAGAAGTGGAGCCTGAGGATGTGACTGAATTGTTGCAATTTCAGGATAAAACTTGAATGGATAAAAAATTGTTTCTTATGAACAAGCAAAAAAAGTAGTTTTTTTTTTTTTTTTTC